TCCGAAGTACGCCCGCTGGTAAATTAATGAAATTTTTGGTAAATTAATGAAAAAGTAAAAAAAGTATTTTTTTTTTACTTTTACACACATTAGCCGACCTCTCGTGAATCTAGTCTGTAGTTATATTTTATGTAGCCAGTTTTAGTAAATGTTTATTGGAAGATAATAGGTTAATTGCAGCTATAAGTTAGCTTACGTGACCAACACTTCACTAACGTTAGCTAACTTACGGTAACTGATGTATATAATATATAATATTTTTTATAATATTTTATATGTATGTATATATATATATATAGCCTATATATAATATTATATATACACACACACACACACACACACACACACACACACACACACACACACACACACACACACACACACACACACACACACACACACACACACAATTCATTTATTTAAATGGGTTAGGGTTATGCATTTATGTGCTTATATGTATTTAGGAACATAGTTAATTCACTCATTAACTATCTCTCCGGTTTAATTTCATGAAGAATATTTTTCGGTTGAATATTTACCGAACATTGCTGTATATAGTCGTTGCTTTCTACGTTATGGGAGCAGTCTATTTCCCTCCTAAATCATTCATTTGTACATGCACAGCGTAATTATTTATATTTTATGTTGGTTGGAATACTGAACGGACCGCCACTGCAGACCTTTTTGCGTGATCACGAAGGTATAGGCTAATGGCTGAATCGGAATTTATAAGCAAGATCACGGGAATCAATAGCCTAATACAGCCCAGTTGTGCTAAAATAAATATCATGAGACGTCCATCATCAGATGAATGACACGGAAAAGTTAAGTTAGAGCCGCTAAACCCAGTGCTACTACCCATGCGAACATGAACACTAAGATTTCCCTCCAAAAATATAGCCTAAAACTTATCTAAGTTGTCACCCTGCCTCTCCAAATGCAAAACTGACATTAACAAAATGCAATAACAGCTTAAAAAGTACTTGGGTGTGTGTTTTATTTTATATCTACTGTTAAATAATGCAATCGCTGCTGTCTGTCCATAGAAGAACATGACAGTCCGCGTATGTTTTGGAACTATTGGGGCTTACATGAACCACGTGACAGCCGTCGCGGCGACATCAAAGTGTGTCGCAACTCTTTCTCTCTATGGCTCTGAACAGACTGGGCCATCTGACCAATCAGAGGAGAGTAGGCTCCTGGAAAGGAGGGGTTTAGAGACCAGAAAAACAATTAAACATATCATTATTGAAATTTATTTTCTTTCTTGAAATAAATCTGAAATAAAATATAAATATTAGTTGAAAAAATGTAAATGTTGCCTTGGCAAATAACTGAAATTACTAAAACTAAAACTGAAAAAATAAATAAAAAATAAAGCTATAAAAATATAAAATAGAATAAAAAGGACAAAACAAAAGTACTTAAACTAATTTAAAACTGAAAATATAAAAATATACGCTATATACTAGAATTATGTAAGCAATGCTAAACTAACTGCCTTAAATATGTTTTTCTCCCTGTTCCTTATGATTAAATGTGGTGTGTTTCGTTGATCTCTGCAGCTGGACACAGGGAAAACATTTCATGCTAAGATGAGGTTTGACACGGATGTGGAGCTCACTTACTTCCATCATGGTGGCATCCTCAACTACATGATTCGCAAGATGTCTGAAAATTAAGATGGAGAGGACGCCCTCTTCAGGACATTCCACTCTAAACGCACATATCCACCATCTACATGTTTTGTCCTGACAGTGTTTCTGTTTCTTTCCTTAAGAACCAATTCATTTGTTGTTTACTTTTAAGTGTACAGTAATGTTTGCTGTCAACATCAAAATAGTTTGCATAATGTTGTGTGATGCACGTTTACTTCTCTTCAGTATCTCTGAAAGGTGCTGTTTTTGATTCTGATGTTGTGCAGATGATGATTATATTGGTTTGGTGGAGGCTCAGTGGGATTGAAGGGGAAGTATGAAAGCATTAGATGTTGTCAATGACAAGTTGAACTTTCTCCATTCTAACCCTATCTCGGCACTGCCAAACTGAAGTCGTATTCTCACTTTCCTGTTTAGATGAAATCAAAGTTTAAATTAATATCTTATAATCTTATTAATTACTGTGCTCAAACTGAACTTTGACACAATTTATTTACAGGTTATATGCTTATGTGTGCTTTTTGTTAATTATAATAGTTAAAAATTATGATTACCAATGATTCCGTTTCGTTGTTGAATATTTTTCTTTCAGAAGTCACATAATGGTTATGCATTACCTATACATTACCTTTAGACTGACATACTGTCGAAAATTTGGACTTAAAGCCCATATGTATAATACATTATAAAGGTATTTAAAATGTACATTTATAATGCATTATCTTTTCAGAAATCATTGTTAGCAAACTTAAAATGCATTATAATATTTAAAGATTCCTTGTTACATCTGAAATTGGTTTATTGTCATGTTTTAATGCATTATACTTTCTGAAGGTGTAACAATGAATCGATAAGTATTATAACTGATTACAATTACTCGTACATCACAAGGCATAATTAATTCATTAAAATGCTTTTATAATGCATAATATGAGGCTTTAAATTTGTTGCTCTCTGCAAACAAATATTGCATCAGATAAATTAATTTAACAACTGTTGAATATCGATCGCCTATCATACTCTACATTTGAAAGTGCCTATTTTTTCAGATTGAGTGTATAATAATCACTTGTGCGGCTATTATTCCGGTCTTTATTTCTTGTGTCGTGCATTCCGGTGCAAAGTTACTAAAAACAACTTTATTGCTGCTCGTCTGTAAAGTGTAATGACGTGGTGCTTGGAATCAGATGCGGGTTTGCGAAATGAGAGACAGACCTTATTCAGATAAGCGCCATGACAGGTATGAAAGCGAGGCACTTGTCGTGTTTTCAATGGCATCCGCTATAAAAAGCTGTATATAAAGCTCACTACACTTATACTTTTCCACAGCTCACATTGTCTGAGTTTTTTGTCAACTGAAATGTCATGGAAAGATGTTCTGTAGTGTTTCATCAGCAGAACAATCCACTGAAGAGATGTAGGCTACGTCTATCCCTCACAGCCTCGCTTTAACCGTTAAAAATCAAAGATGGCGCTGTGAAAAAGGTCTCGTCTACTCAACAAATTCTCTCTGTTGAATTGTGAAATCTTTACTAAACTGTTTGTTAAAGCACAGAGAGGGTAAAACCCGGCAAACCTGAACCCTGCTTTAGGGCAAAATACTATTCGAATATTTAGTAGGCTTCAGAAAAAAGTCCTCTATAATAGAGGTTTTGTAGTTTCAAGCCCAGACTGCCACAGTTTTGCTCTAATACTTCAGCAGTCAAATTGATTGACCTTTATTTTAATAACAGAACATTTACATGTAGTTTTTGTAGAAACTGGCTTTATGAAAATAAACCATTAATGGAATACTTAAAATTCATCTGTGTTCCTTTACAGAATGTGCAACATTAAGATCTCTATTTCTGACATTGCTATGGGTCTCATGATTTTGTTTTTGGAATGACTAACTTTTACCAATTACCTTGAATTTATCGAAAATCGATATGCTGATGCCTTGTTTAATTTTGAAAGCTGCATCATACGGAGGTCGCATTTGTCGGCCAATATACTGCTTCATTTCAGTAAACTGACCAATACATTCCAAAGTCATTAAGAAATTACAATAATTTATGCTTCACTAGGAATAATTGTCAATTTTATAATGGTTACTGTTCTGAAATAAGACATGCGCCCTCTGGAGAATGCATCCTTCGAAATGAGAGATAAGAAAATGTATAGGCCAAATAAACTTATATTAATAACAATAATAATTGTTATTATTAGGGCTGTCAAAATTAATCAATTTCAGGTTAAAGCTGCATTATAAATATTTAACACAATTGACGCTCATATAAATGCAAATGCTTTAAACCATTCAGGCACGATGAGACACAAAAAAGAACACAGTGCAGTACTGGCATGCACGTCTGTGAAACCTGTCTGTGTGACACATACGACTCGTTCGCACAAGCTGCTTCAGATATAGCCTAGAATGGACAAAAACACAATGTTATACCAAAATGCCAGTTTTGGAGAGTATCCTCGCAAGCACAGTTAAATTAAGTCTTAAATGAACGTAAGGAGTTGTGAGAAAATGTGTTTCAGATCCGCAGTAACAGCAGTTTAAGTAATCCGCAGTTAAAGTAACACCAGCCTAATAAACCTGCTGCTGTCTGTCATCAAGGATAATCAAAGAACAAAATCCCTCACTGCTCTTGAGTGAATAACTTTTGTAGCTTTCATTTATAATTTATGCAGTGAAGACTGAAGTGTTTGATAACTTATTCAATTTCTGTATATATCCTATACTGCTAGACCTATCTGAATATCTAAAAGCACTGTTTACAAGGTTACATCAACAACAATGTAAACAATAACTTTTTATGTTTAACAGGGCAATACAATTTTTTAGTATTTGTGATAAAATGTAACATTTATTATAATGGGTCTATGTGAAGATTTTTCACTTAAGTTCACTTAAATTAAAAGTTGTTCTATTTTTTAAAGCCTAATAAATGTCAAAAATGTATAGCTTTCAAGTAATGCTGAATGCCTATAATTAATGGCAAAAATTACGAAGAAATCACTTTTATAGAGACATCAGTAGCAGTTTTGTATCGGTGATACTGATCTTCTTTCATAAAAAGATGCTATTTAAAATATAGGTTTCTGACTTTGTTGTTTTACATTAATTTGGAGATTAAATGACAATAAATTATTACAATAAAAAAATATAAAAAGCTTTAATGTTAGATGCGATTAATCATGATTAATTATAGAAAAATGTGCGATGAATTCGTTTTTTTTTTTTATCGATTGACAGCACTAATAATTATATAAAGTTTTTCCTATGTAAGGATTGCAACGGTGCATGAATTCGCTGATGTCAAAGGGCTTTTACTTTGAAATACAGACGTCATTAAATGGGTGGAGTTTCGACCTGGAAGTAAACAGTACACTTTAAGCTGATCGATTTGAAACTCATGCTGACTCAGAGATATTAGAAAATGTTTAACCTAACATTTGCTTATCCGTAGCGTAACAGTCACGCAAGCACATCACTGAAACCACTGTTTAGACACTCAGCGACAAACTTCAGTGTCCCGCAGCAGCTGGTCGTGTCTGCACGTCACTCAGCACGCGCTTGCCACTGTCATATTCACCAGCAGCGCTTTGTAAAGACTGAAAGGACATGAACAACGAAAATTTCATCCTGAGCGAAAAATTGGTCTCGTCCTCATATGTGCGACAGGGTCTGCAGGCTCGTCGCGGTCATGAACAGCTCATCCGAGTCCTTTTACAGCAGGTAATCATTGTATGATTAATAGATTGACAACTGCTGACTGACTTAACTTACATGTCCATGTGCTCGTTTGACAGAAGGAGACATGGGTTAATGCCATGACGCTCTTTTTTGTCTGGACCTTTAAAATGATATTATATAACATATTTTATAACATTTAAAATGCATTCTATGTTGAGCACATTTTTTATTTCTGAATTTAAATGAATCTTAATTTGATGCAAAAAGTCAATATTTATAACAAAACTTCTCTGCTTAATAAAACAAAAAAACTCATCCGTCATCAGAAATCAGTCATGTGATGCAGAAAAAAACATGAGCCTTGCTGACCCTCCTGACTGTCTAACCATTTTGTTGTTAGACAGTTGCATTACAGTTTAGATACAAGAGTACAATAAGAGTACGAATACGGCTATATATAAGTGCAAACTGAATGTAATGTTTTAGGACACTCAATTCCATGTTAAATTAAAGGCAGTTAGCTGAATTTAATAGTGTTTTATTGACCCACTTAAGTAGAACTTAAGTACATCTTTATTTTCATAATTCTATTGTCTTTTAAATGTATTGCTGAATGTATTGACAAGCATTTATGGCAATCTAAAATGTCATTCGGTTGAAACGTGTTTGTATGATTAAGTACAGTACATTGTAATTAAACATTTATAATGATTACGTAAGTTGCAAGTTAGTACATACATACAGGCCTGGTTTCACAGACAGGGTTTAGATTAAGCCAGGATTAGGCCTTAGTTCAATTAGGACAAATAGCTTTTATAAACGTGCTTTAAAAAAACATTACTGGTGTGCATCTTGAGACAAAACAATGGCATTGTATATATTTTAAGATATGTCAGTGAAAGTTGCTTTCAGTTAAACATGCATTTTAGTCTAGGACTAAGTTTAAGCCTTGTCTGTGAAACCGGGGGATAACCTAAAATATATAACTTTCAATATTGAATAACGCATATGATGTTAATGTCAAGACATAACATTATAATCAAGTACTTTACATGTGTTTGTCGACACATCAAAATAAGTGTACTTCATTAAAACACGACAAAATATTGTTAAAATGTACTTTAAAATAAAACTTTAAATTTGACATAATTACAAAGTGCACTTTTAAAAAAGTGTATTTAAGTGTGTTAAGAAACAGTCATGTTAGTGTACTCTCTTTAAGTACACTTAAGTGGCCTTTTATTTCATCAATATTATATTATCTGCAAGCACAGTTTATTAAAAATATACTTTTAAGATTTGATGTACACTACAAGTGCACATTCAATAAAATTAAGCGCACTTCTTCACAAGGAAGGGGCAATAAGTCTCTTAAAAATATCAGATAGTTTGAATTTTTTATTACAAGAAATGGTTAGTTCAGGTTGTAATATGTCATGTGCATGCCTCCAAATTTTATATGTAGGAATTGATAATAATAAAAAAACTCTTAACCTTTACCTTTTTTAAAATAAAGATTAAGATGTGTACGCTCACATGTGTGCAAAGTTATGTTATACAATTTTTTAGATCCTTATGAAACCAACACGAGTTGCACATGTGTTTTTAAAGTCGCCATGAAATCAAAATTTCAGTTCTTATTTTTTTTTTTACAGCATGTTGCAGTGTTTATTATAAATTATTTAACATTTCATTATTATTTTTTATTTATTTATGTGCACTCAAATCTTTAATCAAAAACGTTAATCTCCCCTCCAAACGACGTCTGTTCTCTTCATGTCTCGGCGGAGAGTGGGACTAAATACCCTCCACAACTAGCATTCATATCTTCCTCCATTTAGTTAACAACACCCAACTTTTTAGTCCCAATTAACAATTAAGTCCCGCTCTACGTTTTTTTCTTGTTCCAGAAGCCGTTTCACTTGGATATACGTCACAATACGGAAGAAAAGACTATCGCAACTTCCGTTTCATGCCGACTTTAAACTAGATTTTCAAAAGATTTTTTATCATGGTGGACACATAAATGGGTGCTTTTGACTATCAGGTTTCTCTTTCCTTGTAGGGCAAATGTCCAGAGGAGGGATGGAGTGAAAGCACCATAGAGCTCTTTCTAAATGAGCTGGCCGTCATGGACAGCAACAACTTCTTAGGGAACTGTGGTGTGGGAGAGAGAGAGGGCAGAGTCGCCTCCAGCCTGGTGGCCAGGAGACATTACAGGTTGGACACATTTAAGAAATTCATGTGAATTCATTACTTAATGGGTGTAAGTAACAATATATCGTGTCACAAGATATCACAATACAAAACTGCAACAATATGCATCATGTAGGTTTAATTAAGCATCAAATATGGTAAACCCAGAGGGTCACACATTTGCACTTGCTATTTCTATTCTGGTGTCTCCATTTCCCTGTACATGGGGAAGAAGTACTGAGTCCAAAACTACCCAAGTCCTGATTTCATACCAAATGTAGCATTTTTATGAACAGTACTTTTTGTCATTTGTTTATCATAGGTCTTAGAAGTAATAATTAAAAAACGTACCATTTTAAATTTGGATTTGTTTAAAGTATCGGATTGTGAGATTAGTATTGTGTATCAAACCAAATCGTGACATGAGTGTATTGTTAATTATTGTGCCCCTATTATGCTTTTTCAGATATTACTTTTCATCTAGTGTGTAATATAGTTGTTTGCGAATGTAAAAGGTCTGCAAAGTGCAGATAAATGGAGTTATTGTTTACTTCCTGCAAAAACCTACATAGGTTTGTAGTACATTTGCATAATGCCAGTGTACTGTATGGTCTTCATTGGCTGCCTGCAAACAGCATCTATTTTGCCCCGCCCTCAAACACTGTAGTTGTTGCCGAGACTGGAAGAGTTTGGTTCGTGTTTTCAACGTGTTGAGAAGATGCTGTTTTCTGTGCAGCAAAAGCAAATCCACTTTGCATACACTTTGCATGATGAGGACTCGGGGTTGAATTGATACAGTAAAACCAACGCCATCGTTACTTTTCGTATCACTGCATCAAGTGCTGAGGAAGCCTCCATAGCTGAAATTCAGATATAGTTATGGGCGTTTGGTTTCCGACACTCGCTGTAAGCGGTAGACCAATCACAACAGACTGGGCCATCAGACCAATTACAACAGACTGGCCCATCAGACCAATTACAACAGACTGGACCATCTGACCAATCACAACAGACTGGGCCATCTGACCAATCACAACAGACTGGGCCGTCTGACCAATCACAACAGACTGGGCCGTCAGACCAATCACAACAGACTGGGCCGTCAGACCAATCACAACAGACTGGGCCATCTGACCAATCGCAACAGACTGGGCCATCAGACCAATCACAACAGACTGGCCCATCTGACCAATCGCAACAGACTGGGCCATCTGACCAATCACAACAGACTGGGCCATCTGACCAATCGCAACAGACTGGGCCATCTGACCAATCACAACAGACTGGACCATCTGACCAATCACAACAGACTGGGCCATCAGACCGATCACAACAGACTGGGCCATCAGACCAATCACAACAGACTGGACCATCTGACCAATCACAACAGACTGGGCCATCAGACCAATTACAACAGACTGGGCCATCAGACCAATCACAATAGACTGGACCATCTGACCAATCACAACAGACTGGGCCATCTGACCAATCACAACAGACTGGGCCGTCAGACCAATCACAACAGACTGGGCCATCTGACCAATCGCAACAGACTGGGCCATCTGACCAATCACAACAGACTGGGCCATCTGACCAATCACAACAGACTGGACCATCTGACCAATCACAACAGACTGGGCCATCAGACCAATCACAACAGACTGGGCCATCAGACCAATCACAACAGACTGGACTATCTGACCAATCACAACAGACTGGGCCATCTGACCAATCACAACAGACTGGGCCGTCAGACCAATCACAACAGACTGGGCCATCAGACCATTCACAACAGACGGGGCCATCTGACCAATCGCAACAGACTGGGCCATCTGACCAATCACAACAGACTGGGCCATCTGACCAATCGCAACAGACTGGGCCATCTGACCAATCACAACAGACTGGGCCATCTGACCAATCACAACAGACTGGGCCATCAGACCATTCACAACAGACGGGGCCATCTGACCAATCGCAACAGACTGGGCCATCTGACCAATCACAACAGACTGGGCCATCTGACCAATCTGGGGTGTGTATCCCAAAACAATTATTAGCAAACTATGGTCGCAAAAGTTCCATTGAATTCTATTGATAATGATGGAACTCGCGACCATAGTTGGCTGTGGGAAATGAAACCCAGAGCAGAATAGAACAATCATAACAAACTGATCCATCTGACCAATCAGAGCAGAGTAGGCTCTCGTAAAGGAGGGGTTTAGAGAGACCGTATCCTTGATCAAACCCTTTCAGACACTGTGAGAAAAAGAAGTGATGCTGCAATGTATCTTATGAGAAAACTAAAGTGTTTTTTGAACTTGGATGCATGTAAACCTATTGTAGGAGCCCTCCAAAACAAAACTAGGAACCTTTAAAATAGCATAATATGGGCAATTTATTAAAAAATATATATTTTATGGGGAAAAAACAGAATTTTCTACAATAATCTGCCTTTTACTATAAGGCTTTGGTGTTTTCCCCTCAGACTGATCCATGGAATCGGCCGATCGGGTGACATTGCTGCTGTTCAGCCTAAGGCTGCTGGTTCCAGCCTCTTGAATAAAATCACTAATTCAGTAGTTCTGGATGTGCTGAAGTTTACAGGTACTTTCTGTGATGTTTTATTAAACAACATGCTTGGTAATGGGACACATCACTAAGCAGAACAAACAAGCAAACAGCAAGCCTTCGCTTGTAATCCAGTGTTTTTGTGCATATTTGGTACTGTTTTCACAGGTGTTAGGAGTGTGTCCTCGTGCTTTGTGGTCCCCATGGCGACAGGAATGAGTCTCACGTTGTGTTTCCTCACCCTGAGACACAGGAGGCCAGGAGCGCGATACATCCTCTGGCCTCGCATTGACCAGAAGTCCTGTTTCAAATCCATGGTGACTGCTGGTAAGATTCCCTGAGGGCCAGTTTTCAATACAGCCCACCACAGAGAACACCTGTGTTAATAGCTTTTAAATTTATTTTTTAGTTTAGTTTCAGTTATTTTGTTATATGCGTTTGTCATTTTTGTTATTGAAAAATATATATTTCTAGGTAACACTTTATTTTACAGTGTCCTTGTTACACGTCTTACATGTAGTTACTATAATAATAACTATAAATTATGCATAATTACATGCAACTAAACCAAACCCAAATCCTAACCTTAACCCTATAGTAAGTACATGTATTTAATTAATTTTACTCAGTACTTAAATGTATAATTGCACTGTAACAAGGACACCTTAAAATAAAGTGTAACCCTTTAGGACCCACTTTATATGAAGGGTCTTTACCTACTGTGTACTAAAATTTAAATTAATCATTTGATACAATGCACTTATTGTGTACATACATGTTTTTACTTTGCACATATAAAAAAAAAAAAAAAACCTACAGCTACATGTAGGTAATTACAGTACTGTAGATGCAATTCAATAATTTCTGGAATTGCATCTACAATTACACTTTTGACCCTTCCCTTAGGCCTTAACCTTACCCGTATCCCTCTCTGTAGCATCAAGTACAACAGTACAACAGTTTTTCAGTACAACATGATCAGAATAAGTACATTGTAGTTAAAGACACCTAATATAAAGTGGGACCTGAATATGTCACAGTTGACCCTCATGGCGCTTTCCTTTATATTAGTGTAGAAAATAATTGTAAAATAGACTCTTTTCACAAAAGTACATCAAATGTTTTCCAACTTTTGAAAGGGTTTGAACCTGTGGTGATAGAGAATGTCTTGGAAGGAGATGAGCTGAGAACAAACATGGAGGAAGTGGAGAGGAAGATTGAGGAGTTGGGTGCTAAAAACATCCTCTGTGTCCATTCCACAACATCCTGTTTTGCGCCACGTGTCCCTGACAGGTCAGTTTCTTTACTAAAACAAATCTTTAGCCTGCAAAGTTTCCGTAAGCATGTAGACATAAAGTTTAAAGGAACAGTTCAACAAAAAAAGAAAAATCTGTCATCATTTACTCACTAACAATCCGACCCCATATTATTTTCTTTCTTTTGTGAAACACTAATGGGGGTATATATATACATATATTGCATAGTCACTTTATTTTGTTTCTTTTTACAGGCTAGAGGAACTTGCTGTTCTGTGTGCCAAACACGATATTCCTCACATAGTCAATAATGCCTATGGAATGCAATCATCCAAATGTATGCACCTTATTCAGCAGGTAACATACTTTTTTTGTGTAAATTTACTGCAATCATTTACTCTATTTCAATGAAACCAAATTGGCTTATGAGGTGTTTTTATAGGGGGCTCGTGTTGGGAGAATCGATGCCTTTGTCCAAAGTCTTGATAAAAACTTCATGGTCCCAGTTGGTGGTGCCATCGTCGCAGGGTTTGATGAGAGCTTCATTAAGGAGATCAGTAAGATGTACCCTGGTATGCATATTTTCTTTAAACAGCAAACATGTTGTAGATGAGTGATCTGTTACAAACTTAATGTCTGAAGTCAGACATTTGCAGTTGCAATTGAAGAGTCTGAAATACAAGACTAAAATACTGCCATCCCTTTAAACATACTGAATATTTACTGTAAAAGTGGTCTGTCTGAATGTGTATTTTTCATACTCCATTTATTTCCTCTTGCATGTACACTATCTCTAGAAATCTAGAAAGAGTTTTTGTTTGTGCAGTGTGCCACATTAGAACGGCTCTCTGCTGGCTCCCACATATCCCTCCCACTTTTTTCTGCACTGCAGAGGAAATCCCAAACACTCCTAATATTATTGATTCACTGAGTGTGCTAGAGTGAGTTAGACAGTGGAAAACGCTTGTAATTTGGTCCATTGTCAAACGAGTGACTGCTTATGCATTTTACTGCAGAGGTTATCAAATCCAAAGGATTTGCACCACTATAAGGGAATGAACCAGTATTAAAATTCAGGCTGATACAGCAAGCAGATAATAATGTTCATGTTATTACCAATAACTATCATTCTATAATGTTTTCTCTAAACAACTAAAAAATAAATACTTAAAACTAAAATCGGTTGTTTTAAATGCTGCAAGCGAAATTTAGGCATCACAACATTACGGAAGAGGATTAGGGCCAAGCAATAATAAAAAAATAAAACCATCTCGAGATTAAAGTCATTATAATGCGAAATTAAACTCGTTAAATTTCGAGAAAAAACTCGAAATACAATCTTGAGAATAAACTCATTAAATATTGAGAATAAAGTCGTTGTGTTTCGAGAAAAAACTCGTTAAATTTCGAGAAAAAAACTCGAAATACAATCTTGAGAATAAACTCATTAAATTTCGAGAATAAAGTCGTGTTTCGAGAAAAAAACTCGTTAAATTTCGAGAAAAAAAAGTAGAAATAATCGTGAGAATAAACTCATTAAATTCCGAGAATAGTCGTTGTGTTTCGAGAAAAAAAGTCGAAATGAAATGTAGAGAATAACGCATTCGATCAGTGTTCATTGCATAGCCTACTGATAGAGGACATGGCAGAGTTGGATCACTTAGTCAAGCTATATTTTAGACTTTATTTCAGTAACAAAGAAATACTTTGAAATCGCTGCAGAATAATGTAACACAACCATATAACATGGACGAGACCGGACAATGGAACACAGGAAATGAAATACACAGAGGATGACTGAAACAGAACAGGTGTTTACTAATTAGGAAACAAGGAGATTAACAAGGAACTAAGGAAAGCGGGAACACAGAAACTAAACAAAAAAGAGCATACATGTGACAGTAATATTCCTCATTTAAATAATTTCCTCCCAAGGCGTATGCAAAATAAAAGGAATGAGGCGCGGTTGAGTTGCGGTTGTAGTGTGTTAAAATGCGCAGTTATGGTAAGGGACGTGGCTTTTCGGAAGGAGGGGTTTCATAGATACAGGAACAAAGTGTTACTGACAGACTGGGAAAGGAGGTGCTGCAACAATGTAAAAATATGTGAAGAATAATGTGTTTTTGAACATTCAAGCATGAAAAACTATTCTAGTAGAAACCAAAACCAAGACTTTGTAAAAGTCCATAATAGATACTCTTTAAATTATTTTTGTTTTTAAAGATTACCATTAGATCCCAGTCTAAATACAGAAATAGGGAAAACACATTTATAATTAAACATCCAATATCAGTCAATAGTGCTAAATTCTTAAAAAATCTGATAACTGTTATGGTACTGATAACTGGTACTGATACATGCATCCTTCTTATGTTTGTACTTGACATTCTCTATGAACTGCAATAAAGTGTTGCAATGAGAAGCATTTCTTTAATGCATTACAACAAGTACTATTGCAAGCTGTTGATGTTAAAGTCATTGAGATTACCTGCTCTTGTCCAGGTCGAGCTTCTGCTTCCCCGTCTTTAGACGTCCTCATTACGCTGCTCACACTGGGGGCCAGCGGCTACAAGAAACTTCTGTCTGAGAGAAAGGTAAAAAAAAAAAAAAAAAAAAAAGCAGCTGGGCTCATAACTTCCAATTGAAGAGTTCAGATGCAAAAGCCTCTAAATGCCATATAAAATTTTCTTCTATAATGATCATTTTTATCAAGCTCGTATATTTAAATTCAGTAATTTCACTTAAATGACAATTAATGGGTAATTTTTATTGCCATTCAAGTGAAATGATTGAACTTAAATATACGAGCTTGATAAAAATGATCATTTTAGAAGAAAATTTCAGATGGCTTTTAGAGGCTTTTGCATCTGAACTCTTCAATTGTAGCTGGGCAGTTTGACTGTTAATTTAGTATTATTTATATACTGACATTATTTAAATACTGTATATTTTCATTTTAATAATTTTTTTTGAAATTTTATGTGAATTATTTTTGTTTTGTTTTTTATATTTATAAATAATTTATTTTTATTTTCACTTTTATTTCTTAATTTAGTATTATGTATATATTAGTTTTTATTAATATTAAACACATTTATATATAAAAAATTAGATTTATACTTTTGTCATTTTTATTAGTTTTTGTTTTTAAAATACATTTCTAAATATTTTTCATATATTTTCTTTTTAATTCAATTTTAGTTTTATTTCAGTTTGTAATTTTAGTACTTTTACTTTTAGTTTAGTTGGAGGCAATTAGTTTAAAGGTGTAAGTGTAAGTGATTTCTTTTTTTGGGGAGGAGTAATTCATTTTTTATTGATTCTTTATATAGGATCACATACAATTACCCAAAAGTTTCTTCACAATAAACAGAACAAAAATTTACCCTCTGAACCCTCCAGCGGTCCCCCAGGTCCAAACCACTGATCCTGTTAAAGGGCACCTATTATGCAAAATTCACTTTTACATGGTGTTTGAACATAAATGTGTGTTGGCAGTGTGTGAGCAAAACCACCCTAGAATGATAAAAATCCACCCAGTGGTTTTTTTACAATCTCAATAAATCATAAGCACGGTCTCAGAACGAGCTGTTCTAAGATTCAGCTTTTTGTGACGTAGAACATGGGAAAGGGGTTTGATTGACAGTGTGGTTGAGGCAGACCCCTCCCTCTGTGATCTGTACACCATCCTCCATTGTTTTAACGACAGCCGGTGATGTCTCCTAGAAACATAAGTGTTCCGTTGTGGGATGGGATGTAATAATGACATACATAGTAGTTTTCCACTGAAAACACAGTGGATGTATTGTATTTTGGAAGTTTAAGAGGACACCTTTCCTTCGTAAATAAGTTTATGTTTGAGAGAATCATTTTCTGACTGACTGTTTTGTGAACGAGGGTCAATTCAAAGCAGGTCTTGCTTCAAAGTTAATCCTCAAGTGTGGATCGTCGTCTACTGTTTGCGATCCAACGTCACCTCCAGTAACGTTAAGTGTATTTTATGATTTTTGAGCAAATAGTCATTTCAGTCGATGTCAGCCAATTCAACAACAAATGCGTCTAAAGTTGTTGTCGTCGTCGTCGTAGGATGTCTGTGTAGGCCTATATAATTTAAGCCTGGTTTGTATAGTGTGTAACCACACGTTTATAAATATATATATATTTAAGATATTGTATTAAAAACTGCATATATTTTCTTGTTCTGTAGCCATCTTCTCACATTTGCCACATAAGCGCCTGTATGACAAGTAATGTAAACATGACGCACGCAACAGGTCCCTCGCATAAATGTAATTTCGCTTGTACGTAGCAAACTTTATCACAGTATGTGTTTGTAGTTTCAAAAAATTGCGCCAACGTTATCACAGTTTGTGTGTGTCTGTGTAGCACATCCATAATTGCAAAGGGGACGCGATTACAACTCTATAAGTACATACATGTATCAAAGAACCATTCCGAGACGTCCTGGTCCATTCTCGTTTGTGTTTATTCTGCCGGAGTCTCTTCGTCATCTGGGTCTGATTCTGATTCAAACATGTAACGTTACGGCTGAATGACATACAAAACAGCGGGTCTCTCTCATTCTGCTTAGACCGACTGCAAGTTACGCCCTCATCCAAAGGCAGGGCGGGGATATGCAGCTCATTTACATTTAAGGTGGTACACACCAAAACAGCTCTTTTTAAAACGGCCCCCAAAAATGACATTTTCAAATGGTTATAATTAATTAACTGTGGGGTATTTTGTGCTGAAACTTCACAAATACATTCTGGGGACACCCGAGACCAATTTTACATCTTGTAAAAAGGGGCATAATAGGTGCCCTTTAATAAAATTGCAATAAAAACAAATTACTTAAAAAAAAATAGATACAGGAATACAAAACACAGATACAGACCGCAACATGAGAAACTTAGGATATTAGGATATTAGTATTAGTATAATAACACACAGATCATCAGAGGTTTACAAGTTCAAATTGTACTCCAAATTAAATTCTTCGATCTTGAAGATTTCCTGTCAGTTCATCTGCAGCAGCTTGCAGTAAGCGATTTCTGAGAAACGCTGTTGAAAGTGGATTGGACCAAGTGCCACAACACATTTGTAGCCAATTAGCAGTAGGGGGCGAGAGAGTGAGCAAGAGGAAGATTTGAAGAAAGACTGTAGAAAGAGAGATGGCTGAGAGAGATTACAAAAGAGAAAAGGTCAGAGGAATATCACTGGAAAAATAGGGGTTATGATCAGGCAAGAGCTTTAGGATTCGCATTAATATTAGAAAAGCTTTCCAGGTCTAGAGAGGCTGAAGCAGGAAATGGAAAACGGATGCAGAGGTTGCGTTGTTTCTGCCCCATATGCGAGTACATTGGTTGAACATTGAACATTGGTTTTGCTATGTTTCACAGAACCAAGATATGCTGGTGTTGTGATGTTAGCTATAGTAACAGGACAGTTTTGAGTGTCATTGTTCATCTGGAGCTCGTGTGCTGCTGGTGTCTAACAACAAACTCTTGCTTGTATATTCTCTTGTGTACTGTATGTAATTTTTTTTTCTTCCTTGTTGTTCGTTCATCATATTTGCTTTATTTTTCGCAAAGCATTATTTTGCTTTGCTTCAACTATGATAAAAGAGACATCCAGAAATCGCTTTCCGCACCTTTAACCAACATAGTCATTCTGTGGCCCCCTTGGAAGTTTACTGAGGCCCCCTGGTTGAGAACCACTGGCAGGTGGGCATATTATCCCAATGAGACTTGGGTACATGGAGCAAAATACCACTAGCCATTATGTGATAAGGAACTTAAGGGGATATTGATTTACTGCTAATGCATCCGGATTATTAATAATTTACCACCTTTGTTGATCATATAAGATGTTCTCTATGGTCAGATTTGGTGGTCTAACATGTTTTAGCCAAAAGAGAAAGAATATTTGGACTGTCCCCATGAGAAAAAGGAAGTGCACTTTAGCATACTTTTCAAAAAGAGTACTTGTTACAGAAATAATATACTATAAAAGAACATACTTAAATGCAAGCTGAATGTAATTTTCCAACACTTATTTAGATGTTAATTGCAATTAAATCAAAAAGTATTCTAGTTGAAATTTATTTTAAATGCACTCATTCAATCCCAAAATGCACCACAATAACGAGTGCACAACCTATCTATGCTGAACGGCTAGAGAATACCGATAATGCACAATGCGAGTCGCGCGCCGAATTACTTCCTGCGTTAATTCCTGCGACCGGAAGATGCAGTCCGTAGCTGAATCATCCATACATTTTCCAAACCGCTGGTCCAATGTGGCTACAGTGTAATATCATACAGGTGAATTGTTCAATTAAGGTTTAAACATAGTTTCCATGACAGAGTTCTAAATCTTTTCATCTTACTACAGGAGCTGCCAGTTTGCTATGCAAAAGCGGCAGCCCTTCCGGTGCACTCAGTGTCCGAATTCTCTCACTTGCTTTCATTCACTCCTTTAAGTGGACTATATTACTGGAGTAATGTAGAGAATAGTGAATGAGTGTATAGGGGATGATTTCGAACACAGCTCAGGACTGAGGACTGAGGCGAAGGCGGAGCGATCGAGGACCAAGGCGGAGCTGAAGGGAAGGAGGAGCCCGATGGAGCCAAAGGGGTGAAGGGACGAAGTGCAGCTGATGCCCCGGAAGTTCATTGGGCAGGCAGTGTGAAGACCGACCAAGGCGGAGCCGGAGGGACGAGCCCGGTCGAGTCGAATGGGCGAGGAGCCAGGGTCGACAGGCAGAGATCGAGTGACCGGCAAGGAAGTTCTAGGTGGAGCTAGTGGGTTGACACTCCTGAGCTGGACTGTCAAACTCGAGGACCATAGCACATCCTGGAGGGGAGGTGGAGCCAGCGTGGAAGGAGCTGAAGGGCTGAGAGAAGACAGTGCAGACAGGGACTGGGTAGCGCAAACATGAATTCACAAATACGCAGGACAGACAACTCCCTCTTGAATGACACTCTTGGTTGACACGGAACAGGTGGACATCTCTTGAACCATCCGCTTGGCTGACAGGGAACAGGCATACAGTTTTTACTAGGCAGACTTAAAACTTTCAGAAGAGATGGGAGAAGTAGGCTTGGTGGCAACACTGATATCAATAACACAGGGCTTGGTGATGGGACAGGAAAGATACACTCACTACAAGTCCATTAAATCCTCCTCTGCCATAGTAGAGGGAGTAGGGCTCCGGTTCTTCCCCTCATACTCCACCAATAGGTCCACAGGCACCGGTGAAGATGTCGGCTCACACCCCTTGTTAGACGGGGCTGGCTCGGGCTCTGGGGCGATCTTTAGCACTGGCTTTGGCTTTGGCTCTGGCTCATCATCTGCGGGGGGCACAGGTATCGCTGGTGCTGGGCTGTTGGTGGTGGCTGGAGCGCTGATTTCCTCCCTGCTCTCGCAGATCGTAAATGGGAAACCATTGTGGAAAAGGACCCATTCCACTTAGTCTTTAAAGCTCGCTGGAGGCTCGTCTCGTCTCTTTCATTGAGGCCTGCCTGGAAAAACACACGCAGGCTTGCGTCATCATAATGAACCAGATGTTGTAGCTCCAAGAACGCCTGTGTGTGCGCCTCCAGGGATTGGTTCCCCTGTGAGACCAGGAGGATTCTGACTGCTGCTAAATCCATAGTCGGTCCGATCTTCTGTCACGTATGGTTGAGGCAAAGATGCCAAAATAAACAGGATTCTAGTGCAGCAGTCCGGTGTTTAATAACAGATAACAAAGACGTGATCGGAAAAAGAACTGAACAGAACAGGGCTTAACAGAGTGAACTAATCAAGCAAAACAACACCAGGTGCACGCTAATCAATCAGTAACCAAGGAGACAAATGACAGGGCAAACCAACTCATAGTAACACAAATACAGATAACGCGTATCAGAACCCTGACAAGTACAAAGTACAAATTTTAAGTGTACTTAAGTCTGTTAAGACGGTCATGAAGGTGTACTCTCCTTAAGTACACTTCAGTGGCCTTTTATTTCATTGATATTTCATTGATATCTGCAAGTACAGTTTTTTTTTCAATATTAACTTTTTTTTATTTAAAGTGTAAATTTCATATTTACCTTTATTTAAAATATTTAAAGTGCACATTTAAAGCATTTTCACTAGGGTGATTTGTCCGTATTTTTGAATTCTTTACATTTCGACATTTTTGCCTGTGCAAAAATTCTATAGTCTTGTGGGTGATTGCTAGGGCAGTGGTGTTTGGTTGCTAGGGTTTTCCATCTGCTTGCTAGGATGAATTTCGTTTGCATAATGTGGGCTGCTGCATAATATGAACTGTCAAAGATAGCAGGTTATTGTCTCTGCGTTTTCGTACTGTCTTACTAACAGCATCATAATGGGGGGCCGTAACCTCTTACTGTTCATTTATAATTGATCCCAGTGGTGGACCCACAACTCTGCCAACACAGCTGATTCTGTTGACGCAATTAGATTACAGCTTCAGATGGGAAAGCAGGCGGTGTGTTTGCCTGGAAAGGAGAGCTAGGGGGCTGGAGAATGATGCAGGTGGTGGGTGTACTGAAGGCCAGCAGACACAGAAATGCTACATGAGCAGAAAACAGAATGTGCGACAGAAAAAGGTGTGTAAAGTGGAGTGTGGAAAGCTATTTATAACGAGTTTTGTATGGCCCACAGGAGCTGTACAGCCACCTGGCACAGGAGCTGAAAGCTCTAGCTGAGAGCCACGGGGAGAGACTGCTGCATACGCCACACAATCCAATATCACTGGGTGAGAAATAATACATATAGTGCCGTGTCATATGAGCAAGAGGGCTGCTGCTGCTTTTATGTTAACAGTTTAATGAACAAGTATTGTTTGATTGTAAATGAAAATAGTTCCAAAAGTTTTTGCATGTTGCACAAGGTTTGGTTGGTTAGCATAAACCTGTTAGCCCCTGCTGGTAGATGCTGTAACTACACCATCTGACTGCAAAGAGCATCTCGGCATTTTTATCTATTTACAACTGTTCAAATGTGATCATGTATTTTGACAGAATTTTTCTTTTTCTTTTGGAAGCAACATTTCACACACACGCACACACACACACAGCTTTGTTTTTGTGATATATGAGGACATTCCATAGGCGTAATGACTTTTATACTGGACAAACTGTATATTCTCTCCCCCTACACTGCCCCTATCCCTAAACCTGCCCATCACAGGAGACATGCTGCATTTTTACATAAAAAAAAACCCATTGTTTTTTATGTTTTTTAAGCTATTTGAAATATGAGGACACATGCAATGTCCTCATATATCACGTGTAAGTTGTAATACCAGTGTAATATGCATGTCATTATACACATTTGTGTCCTCATATATCACAAAAACAAACACACATACACACACACACACACACACACACACACACACACACACACACACACATAGACACGTTGGGTTTCCTTTGGGAATTTCCATAGACATAATGATTTTTATACTACAAACTGTATATTCTATCCCCTAAACCTACTATAACAGATTTGAATATTTTTACCTTTTCAGAAACCATCATTAATATGTATAAGCTATTTTCCTCATGGGGACCAAATAAATGTCCCCACAAGGCCGCGCAACACATGGTAATATGGCTCGTTAAGCGTTCTTGAGGTGCTATCAGTCAATCACCCTTTTGTGAAACCTAGTTGTATTAATATAAATATAATATGATTAATAATAATTAAAAAAAACTTTTAAAAAGTGCACTTTGAAATCATCAAATTAATAGTTTTACTTTAAGTAGATTTTAAATCTGTATGTTTAATAATCTTTTGCCATGCTTTAATGTACACTTAGTTTGATGTGTTGACTAACATACTAAAAAACATTAAATGTTATATATATATATTAAATGTACTAAATTGGAACTTCATTACAAATGTGTACTTAAAAATATATTTAAATACATGACATATACTTTAATGTAATTTCTATTGAAACTTGTATTTTAGTTATATAAATGCTCGTCAGTATATTCAGCAGTACACTTTAACCACATTTCAAAGAAGTAATTGTAAGATGTACTTAAGTCCTACTTAAAGGAATAGTTCACTTAAAAATAAATTCTGTCATCATTTACTCACCCTCAAGTTGTTTCAAACCTGTATGAATTTCTTTCTTCTGCTGAACACAAAGAAAGATATTTTGAAGAATGTCGGTAACCAAACAGTTGATGTACATCAGTGACTTCCATAGTATTTTTTTTTCCTACTATGGAAGTCAATGGGGTACACCAACTGTCTGGTTACCGACATTCTTCAAAATATCTTCTTTTGTGTTCAGCAGAAGAAAAGAATTCATACAGGTTTCAAACAACTTGAGGGTGAGTAAATGATGACAGAATTTATATTTAAGTGAACTATTCCTTTAAGTGGGTTAGAAAAGCACTGCAAAGTTCAGCTATTTATATTTAATTTAAATTTAAACAAATAATTTTTAGTTAAATTTCAGTTAAGCAATTAAGCGTCTTTTTTAAACTAAAACAAATGTACAAAAGTGCAAATGTATGAAAAGTTGTCTAATGTTGTTCCTATGCACTCCAGCTATGTCACTGAACCGTCTCCAGACGCACAGTAACGCAGCAGTCACTCAGCTGGGCTCCATGCTCTTCACCAGACAGGTGTCTGGGGCCAGGTGAGCATATATACATATATGTTGTCCTGTAATTTCACTTCAAAGCAAACATTTGAAAAAGTATAGTGGATGTGAAGTCAGTCTCCTCAAGTTCACACAGATGAGAACTAACTGTGATGAACTGCATGCCCCACTGTTTGACAAACAGAAAGTGTCTAATTACTTTTTAACAATGTGTCTATTGTTATATAATCTATAACCTAACAATTAACTAACTAAATAACTTAGCTTTTTTCATGAAATGTTGTGATTCAGAAGTGTGCTTGTTATCCTTATGCCACTTAAAGTATGGCTTAAGTCTCAAAATATTTTCTGGGGTCACTGTAGCTTACAAAGGTGACTAATTTAATATTTTCCCATCCCAAAGCTACATTATTTTTCTTCTCTTTATATTATATTATATTTACTTTTTATTGTAAGGTGTCCTTGTTACAGTGTAATTGCACATTTAATACAGAGTAATAATAATTAACTACATGTACTTGCTATAAGGTTAGCATTAGGGTTTGGTTTAGGGGTAGTTACATTACATGTAATCATGCATAATTTATAGTTATTACTATAATAACTACATGCAACGTGTAACAAGGACACTGTAAAATAAAGTGTTAGCATATTTTCTACTGGACACTAGATGATCTGCTGAAATATTGATGAAACTTTCTTTCTGCTGTCCACTTTCATTATTTAAATGGGAGTCATTCTCATTCTCAAGGGTTTATCTTGTTGCATTATCCTCTCCACCTCCTTTTAGTCTGTCACAGACTGTGCACTATATCTGCAGTGATAGATGTGCAATGAATAAATATGACACCATAATTTAAGATTGAACTGAATGTCAGTGAATTTGGAAAGAGCCATGTAAAACTCTGAATTGGCTCATGTTTTGTTTTAAAAACTCTTTTGCCTTGAAAGAGAAACTATTTGTCCTCATTAATCTTTTAGACGACCAGTTTAATTTATCATTTTTAGTAAGAAATTAATCATTGTGGTAATAATTAGGATGACACAACTATTTGTAACAAGTATTGAGAACTTTTGTTTTCATTGTCCAAATTGCATAACATTAGATAAGGTACATCTTGGTTCGGTTTGTGCGTTCATCAATAGCTTACTGTAAAGTATGTTTGATACTTAGGAAATCACAGTAGTGATTAATGTAGTAGAAATCACAGTAGTAGAATAATGTTTAATGTTTCAGTAGAAATAAATGATGGTGCCACTACCATATCAATACTACTGGAAATTTCAGTTTTCTGTCATCCGTCCTTGCCCGTTTACATCAAACAAAAAAATTCTATTCTTATTCTACTTGCTCGGATGACATATTTTTATATACAGGTCCTTCTAAAAAAAATAGCATATTGTGATAAAGTTCATTATTTTCCATAATGTAATGATAAAAATTAAACTTTCATATATTTGATTCATTGCACACCAACTGAAATATTTCAGGTCTTTTATTGTTTTAATACTGATGATTTTGGCATACAGCTCATGAAAACCCAAAATTCCTGTCTCAAACAATTAGCATATCATGTCTCTAAACGAGCTATTAACCTAATCATCTGAATTAACTAATTAACTCTAAACACATGCAAAAGATTCCTGATGCTTTTTTTTTAAAACTCCCAGCCTGTTTCATTACTCAAAACCGCAATCATGGGTAGGACTGCCGACCTGACTGCTGTCCAGAAGGCCATCATTGACACCCTCAAGCAAGAGGGTAAGACAGAAAGAAATTTCTGAACAAATAGGCTGTTCCCAGAGTGCTGTATCAAGGCACCTCAGTGGGAAGTCTGTGGGAAGGAAAAAGTGTGGCAAAAAACGCTGCACAACGAGAAGAGGTGACCGGACCCTGAGGAAGATTGTGGAGAAGGACCGATTCCAGAGCTTGGGGGACCTGCGGAAGCAGTGGACTGAGTCTGGAGTAGAAACATCCAGAGCCACCGTGCACAGGCGTGTGCAGGAAATGGGCTACAGGTGCCGCATTCCCCAGGTCAAGCCACTTTTGAACCAGAAACAGCGGCAGAAGCGCCTGACCTGGGCTACAGAGAAGCAGCACTGGACTGTTGCTCAGTTTTGCATGTCATTCGGAAATCAAGGTGCCAGAGTCTGGAGGAAGACTGGGGAGAAGGAAATGCCAAAATGCCTGAAGTCCAGTGTCAAGTACCCACAGTCAGTGATGGTCTGGGGTGCCATGTCAGCTGCTGGTGTTGGTGCACTGTGTTTTATCAAGGGCAGGGTCAATGCAGCTAGCTATCAGGAGATTTTGGAGCACTTCATGCTTCCATCTGCTGAAAAGCTTTATGGAGATGAAGATTTCATTTTTTCAGCACGACCTGGCACCTGCTCACAGTGCCAAAACCACTGGCAAATGGTTTACTGACCATGGTATTACTGTATTCAATTGGCCTGCCAACTCTCCTGACCTGAACCCCATAGAGAATCTGTGGGATATTGTGAAGAGAAAGTTGAGAGACGCAAGACCCAACACTCTGGATGAGCTTAAGGCCGCTATCGAAGCATCCTGGGCCTCCATAACACCTCAGCAGTGCCACAGGCTGATTGCCTCCATGCCACGCCGCATTGAAGCAGTCATTTCTGCAAAAGGATTCCCGACCAAGTATTGACTATTGAGTGCATAACTGAACATAATTATTTGAAGGTTGACTTTTTTTTTTGTATTAAAAACACTTATTTTATTGGTCGGATGAAATATGCTAATTTTTTTAGACAGGAATTTTGGGTTTTCATGAGCTGTATGCCAAAATCATCAGTATTAAAACAATAAAAGACCTGAAATATTTCAGTTGGTGTGCAATGAATCTAAAATATATGAAAGTTTAATTTTTATCATTACATTATGGAAAATAATTAACTTTATCACAATATGCTAATTTTTTTAGAAGGACCTGTATATATATGTAGTGGAACTTTTTTGTAGAATGATTCTTAGTGTAGCTAGTCATGCATGCAGAAAACCATAGCACAAGGACATAAAAATGTTGAATGTCATGTATTTAAATATTGATAATTACACATTTGTTGTAAAGTTGCAATTTAGTATGTTAAATATATTAACTATATATTATTTTGAATAAAACAATAGTTTATTATAATCAAGTACTTTACTTTAGTATGTTAGTCAACACATCAAAACAAGTGTACTTCTTTAAAACACGACAAATAATTACGGTATTAAAACAATGAGTTAACATGTTCTTTAAAGTAAAACTGTTCATTTAACATTATTACAAAGTGCACTTGTTAGTGTACTGTACTTAAGCGTGATAAGAACTTCCACTTTATTTGAAGGTGCTTTGTTACAGTGTAATTATACATTTAAGTACTGACTGAGTAATAATTAAATACATGTACTTACTAAGGTTAGGATTAAGGTTTGGTTTAGGGTTAGTTGCACATTAGTATGCATATTTTATAGTTTCTACAGTAAATAAAGTTATGAAGGTGTACTCTCTTTAAATACATTCACATGGCATCTTATTTAATTAATATGATATTATCTGCAAGTGCAGATAACTTAAACAAAATCTGAGAATTGATCATTTCAGTCAACTTCAGTCACTTGTACTGATGTAAAGCATATAAGATTTGTCTCTTGCAGTGTTGTTTGCTTTCTCTTGCACAGAAGAAGTACTGAACAAAACAGTGATGTTTCTGTAGGAGAAGCAATGCGGAAATGAATCAGATGGCTTGTTCATTCATGCAAAATCTTGTTGCAGGGTGGTCCCACTGGGTGTGGAACAGACCGTGAGCGGACACACGTTCAATGGCTTCATGTCACACACGGATTCCTATCCGTGCCCGTACCTTAATGCAGCCTCCGCTATTGGAATAACCAAAGAAGATATAACATTGTGCATCAAGAGACTCGAAAAATGCCTCAAGAGCCTTAGGAAAGAAGCCTCTGCAGAGAAGAGCGAGTCAGTATCTCCTGCTGAAGATTTGAAAGACCAAACCGTCCCTTAATGCTCCGGTTGTTTACATAGGATTCATTTTTTCATAACTTGATATTGTGGCAATAGCCTTGTGTGTGAATGTTGATATATCACCGTATGGCCACACATGCATCTGTTTGTTTCCTCTGTGTGTTTAGACTTGTGTTTGAAAGCTGTGTATCCTGACTGACAATAAATACAGATTATTTCATAATTTTAAATCATCTGGCGCTGTTGTTGTTTTTTTAGAACATCATTGTGGTTGAATATACAAATGTAGAGGGAATTATCTGTTCCAAACAATATCATAACTGAAATCATAACACACTGAAAGAAAGATTGAAAGAAAATTCACTGAAATGTAATGTAAATTTCACAAAGATGTAGTCTCTTGATGTACCAAACCCTACAATTATTATCTGCAATGTATTCTTTTGTACTGATATAATAGACAGTGCTGGTAATGACTGCACTTAAAGGGATGGTTCAACCTAAAAAGATTATCCCATGATTTACTCACCCTCAAGCCATTCTAGTTGTATATGACTTTCTTCTTTCAGCCAAACACAAAATCAGAGTTATATAAAAAAATATATATAATGGGAGTGAATGGGAGCTTGTTTTTGAAGCCCAAAAAAGTGCATCCATCCATCATAAAAGTAATCCATACGGCTCCAGTGGGTTAATAAAGGCCTTCTGAAGCAAAGCGATGTGTTTTTGTAAGAAACATATCCATAATTATAACTTTATAAACTATAATCAGTGGCTTTCGTTAATGGCCGTACACGGTTCTGGTTCCGGCGGAAGAGAGACCTCTGACCTGACGTTACCGGAAGCCAGTGATCTTTGGCGTAACATCTTAAACCAGGTACAATCCTCTCCCATATGTGCCAGGCATGGTTTAATACTAGTGTAAAATAATATTCAGAGCCCACTTGACCAATGCCCAATTGGTCAAATTTTTCCAGAACTGGAATGCAGTCTGCACCCGTTGCAAATATTCACCTGCAGATATTTTGGAGGTGTCCACAGAAACTTTTTGGCCCAATGTATTTGACGCACTTAAAAAGCTCTCATCTCTAATATAGACCCTGATCCCTCTCAAGTCCTCTTTGGGGATTCCTTTAGGCCTGCTTTGACATCGCAAGGTTGTTGCTTTTACTTCACTCTCGGCCTGATGGGCTATCCTTCTTGAGTGGAAGAATTCTTCTCCCCTGACCCATGACAGCTGGATAAAGGACATTTTTTACTGTATTAGACTTGAAGTTAAGAAGCTCACTCTCTGGCTCACTTAAATCCTTTTATAAGACTTGGGATCATCTTGGGATTTAGAATCAAATTAAAGGCCTATCTTGCTCACCAGTAACTGACAACGAATAATATTTGCCAGCAATTAGAAGGATTTTTTTTCTTATTTTCTTTTATTTTTATTTAACCTTTTCGATTTGTTTGCTTGTTTCTTGTCCATTTGAAGGTTTAATAATGGACAATGTCTTACTGTTTACCCTCTCATCAATGTACCATTCGGTATTGCCACACAAAACACCTATAAAAAAGATTTGGAGTATTATTTTTTTTAAAGAATGGACATTCAAATTCACAAAGTGGTTGCACGATGCAGTGTTTAAAGTCTTAACTCCACACAATAGTCCAGCATGTTTAATAGCATCTGTTCAGTGACGTGCCAGAGGAAGGTGCACAGTATCTGTTTTCACGTCAGAGGTGTTGAATCAGCTTCTCATGCTACGCTGTAATGCATTTTATGTGCAGTCCAGCAGCATTTCTGTTAATGATTTATGTCGGATCATCATCTGCTGTTCTCTTAGACTGTCGTCTTCATCCACCGATCCCTCAGCTACACTCCATATTCCATCTATTCAACAAGCTATGTCTCTTAGTAAGAAACTCTCCTCTTATTGTTTATCTTACTGTTTTGCTGATACAGATTTTTCCTCCCACTTAGGCTACACTTATCCTTTTCCTCCCATCATCAGTGTTTATGACTGCTCTTAAAGGTATGGTAGGCATTTTCTTTCATAAACCCTTTTTGTTATACTGGTTGAAAATCCTGATGGGAATCAATAATAGAAGTGGTCTAAATATTTTCAAATGTGTATGTATCTTCTGTAGAAGTCTCTGGACCAAAAAATGTTCATCCAATCATTGCATTCGGTCCGAATGCAATGATAGGATGTCCTACCTGCATGTCAACATATGTATTTCCTAATTCGGGCATCTGCTCGCGCAGACATCAAACGTCATCAGGGCGTTAAGTAAGGCTATGCAGAGTTGTAGACAGTCACCAAGCACCACAAACAAACAGCAATCTCCTTTTTACAGGTCCTCCTGAACCAAAACAACGAGCTTATGCTGCATTCACGTCATGTCGTAACCGTAATTACGAGATGGCAACCTGTGACGAGTTGTTCAGGTCCTCGGAATCAGATTTATGCGTTTCTCTGGCTGCACAATCAATGCCGAAATGAATCTGCAGCAGTCAGGTGGTACAAGTAAGCCCTGTAAGTTGTTTACATTCGTTATTATTGTAATGTTATGTGCTTTGAGACATGAGGTATAACGCCATCTCTCGTGACGCTTTGCAGAATCTGCTTTGACGCTCTGAAGGGTGGGTGGGATCTTGTGCTTTAAAAGCTAGCTTGCTAATGTTAGCCTCTCTGAAATTTATCTATAAATAATCTATATCTGATAATCTATAATCTATATCTGATTTACATATATAGAACATACAAATATTATTTTGAATGAAATTTCAAATAGGCTAATTGTATTTTATACATCGTTGCCGGTTTTGTCATATTCATTTATTTTTTCAGATTTTTTCTTTGATTCACTGAGACTAAATGAACATATTGTGTTCATCATAGTTGGTTTGGTTCCTATGAAGATTACATTCCAAGTCAAAAAAAGTCAGAATTTTAAGTTATAAACTCAGAATTTTAAAATAGTTAGTATTGCGAGTTATAAAGTCAGAATTGAGCGATATAAACTTGAAATTGTGAGGAAAAAAGTCTGAATTGTGAGATTAAAAATTGCAAATACCTTTTTTTTAATTCCGCAGCAGATGGCTTCCAGTAAATTAATTGGTAATTAATTTGAGTAAATTAATGAAAAATATAGGCAGCCATGAGGTGTGCAGTCACTGTAGACCTCTAAATCTATTGTTTATCTCCAAAATTACAGATAATTTTAAAAGAAGCCCACTCCAGATGTTTAGTGTTTACTCTCATTCATCAATATCTGAAGGACGTGTCTCATTGACTTATCACCTACTTTAACTTCAAGTGCTTTAAAAGCGGTAATAGAACAGGCTGCTGACAATAGCATGTGTTTTTTTGCGTTAATGTAATGCATTGTTTTGACCGTTAAATAGATGTTAGAATGCTGACGATTTTATAACAGCGAGACTGCCAAACTGTCCATTAGAGTGTCGATTTCTGGCTTTAATTGTGTAAGTTAACAAAATTAACTTTTAACTCATTCTAAAGCAGCACATATTTTAGTAATAGAAACTAATGCTGATAGCCTATTTAAAATAATGTCACGATTTTTGTACTGTCCCTTTTTTAAAAGAAAGGAAACAAACTAAAAATAGGCATAGCAAAGCAGTTTTATTGATGCCACAGAAGTTCTCCTAATGCAGAATTTGTTTCTTATACTCACTAATCGTTAAAGAAATTGCTTAAAGGGATAACAAATTGTCATTAATTAGCTATTATGTATTTGTAGCTAGCCTATTTGCAACATTTCTGAAAATGACTGGCCTACAGCAAGTAGCAAATCATGGTTCATGGCTAAAATGATACTTTGTTTGGGCTATAGCTATAGCCTATTCTGCTCAAACATTCGGTTTTATTAGGAAATACATCACCACAGAAAGAAAACTGAACTGTGAGGGATTTCATGGGGGCTTTGGTGGTTTTTGAAAGAGGAAAAGTCTTTCGGTTCTCTAAAATGGAAGAGAAAATGTGTTTATTTTTATTTATTTTTAGAAGGAATTGCATTTTAGAATTCCTGAATGAATATTGGCCGTGAACGATATGCACGCAGCTATAAAAGTAATCATCATCGAGGCTGTTTAACCATCATCCACCGTTATTGGGCGCCCTAATAAATAAATAAGTCGCGAGAGGATCTGCAGCCGAACTGCTGATGTCAGGCTCTTCAGTGCTGCATTTCATACTGCAGGGTGGATGACGACCGCGATCTTCTCTGGATTCACACATGCGAGCCTGACAAACAACATGCGGACTGTCGTGATAATATCGGCGCTAGTATTATACCTGGCCCCGTTAGGGAACACGGGGAAAAGGGTTTTTAAATGTCCGTCCTCATGTAGCTGCTCCAAGGAGTCTATCATTTGCGTCGGGTCCTCGAATGTCCCGCGATTCATTCCCAACGATGTCAGTTCACTGTAAGTCCATCATTTTTATGTATTAGATCATCTCATATATTCTTGTGCTTGAATTCAGAGCTTAGTTGGAAAATAGCATTCGCTATTCAGTCATATTGTCTTTATAATAGGCTTTTTTTGTGTCAGAATTGCACTGACTGTCTCATATGGCCGGTGTTTTGCAGGAGTATTGTGAATGGGACCTTCTCTGAGGTCAAGGAGGCGATGTTCTCACACATGCCGTCCTTACAGTTACTGTAAGTGAAGCCCATCTGATTAAGCAAATGTCTATAATTCTCTTGTAAACTGTGCTTCTCATTAACTTACATTGTAGAAGAATTTCTAGATTTTAGCTACAATATCACTCCAATTTTTGTACAGACATATTTGCTATAGGCTAAACTAAATCCACTGTCTCCTTTTGCTGATTATCTTTTCCACTTTAGCTGAAATACAGTTTAATTTGTATTAAAGATTGTTTTGATACATGGTTGTAGTATAGCAAAAGAAAAATTTAAGTTTTAATCAGTGCTTCACCAAATTATGCAAAACCAAAAATATTGAGTCGACCCTACTTGGGTTGGATAAACTGGAAATGGACTGCTTTCTGAATTTAAAATAGCTGTCTTAATTTAATGACGGCGAATATTTTGACCTGTAAAAATGCATTCAGCCCTTTGAGTAAGTGTAGTTGCTTTAGATGCATATTGAACACTTTGTTAAACACATTTTGCCTTTAGCTATTTAGCACTGGAATCCAATGCTCCTCAACTAAACACATGAAGGTGACATTTGGAATGCCTTTTTGCCCTTTATAGCTATTTAAAAAGTCAGGGGACATTTGCTCACAGAAAATTCCTCCCGTTTCCTTTTTGACACTGAGAACATAGTGTCTTTTCCATTCTGTCATTGGCGTAATGTAGGATGTCAGCGATTTGAAACACTGACTTAGGGATATAGAGAGATATGTGCCTGCCCTGGCAAGTTTTATTTGTGTATCGAAAAACTCTGTAGCAACACTCCATTTAAATAGCACTGCAATGTAAACCCTCAGCCTGATAATGATCGTTGGTAATGGTTGTGACTGTAAACTCTGACAGGTTGCTGAACTCCAATGCCCTCACTACAGTAAGGGATGATGCATTCTCTGGCCTTCCGCACCTTGAGTACCTGTAAGTTTTCTTTTAAGGATTATTTATGGATATAGATGTCTATTGCAATACTGCTGCTATACTGAATGGAAGGTCTAAAGTATTTTAAGTAAACCATTTATGCAAGAGCAAGATATGTTGGGAAGCTGCACGTGATGTCTGAAGTTCTGAATATGTGTGTTTGTTTACATATTGAAGATATGCACACATTCTTTGAACATCTGAATGTATAATAATCCTAAATATATTCTATATATATTTCATTAAAATGCATTTTATTTTATTTTTTTAACTTAATTGTATAGCATGTTTCTCTGGTTCAGTTGATCATCCTGGTTCCATTTAATGTAAACTGACCATTATCTTTTACTCTTATTTCTCTCTCCATTCTTTAGGTTTATAGAAAACAACAAGATTGAGACAACATCAAAATACTCTTTCAGGGGACTTAGGGATTTGACTCATCTGTATGTTTTATTACAATCAATTAATGTACCGCTGCCAATTATTTGTATTGTACTTTACTCTAAAGTGTTGCTGTCTCCCTCACAGGTCTTTGGCGAACAACAACATTAAAGCTTTGCCCAGAGAGCTATTCATTGATCTGGAATCATTGATAGAGTTGTGAGTCTGAACTTCTGCAAATGCTTACTTAGCATTGTAGTAGACTTTACTGAATATGATATGTTACTCGTTTCACAGACAGGGCTTCGATTAAGCCAGGATTAGGCTTTAGTACAATTAGGACATTTAAGTAGCTTTTATAACCGTGCCTTTGACAAAACATTACTGTTGAGACAAAACAATGGCACTGACATATTTTAAGATATGACAGTTCAAGTTGCTTTCAGTTAAAAAAGCTCAGACATGCATTTCAGTCTGAGACTAGCTTAAGCCTCGTCTGTGTAACTGGGGGAAAGTCTCTATATTTAAACCTACGGAGAGTGACACCATATATTCATCTATTCATGCTTGTTGATTGATTTTGTTCCTATGCATTTCCTTGCAGAGACCTGAGGGGCAATGTTTTTGAGTGTGACTGCCGAGCGAAATGGTTGATGATGTGGCTAAAGAGCACGAATGCCACTGTATCAGACGTCCTCTGCGCCGGCCCTGAGGAGATGAAGGGCAAAAGGCTCAATGACATGGCGAGCTTACATAACGAGTGTATCTCTACAGGTATGTGAATGAGCGCTTGTGTGTGTGTGCATGCTTGGTATTGTGTGTGTAAGCCTTTTCAGACTATAAATCCAATCCAGTGCCTTTAGTTTGTTGTTTATAGCTATTCACCAGTAGAAACAATTCGGTAACATTTCTAAATGCTTGTTATAGATATATGGATTTTTGACCTGGTATTGTTTAGGCAAAATGTCATAACTGGACTTTCTGGTTAAACGACATACTTCTATCAGTTTAACGACATACTTCTATCAGTTTATGTAAAGTATGCAGGACTTCTGCAACACATTTTTGCTTTTTCGATAATCCATTACACTCAGGTGCACATCACAATACAGAAGAAAAGATCTGTTGCTACTTCCATTTCATCGACTTTAAAAGCCAATGGATTGGTAAACATTTACATTTATTCAATAAGAAGTTACTTTTATACTAACCTCACGAGCATTTACAGCACGGAAATCCAGAATTGTTTTGTCATTTTGTAAAATGGAATAAAATCAAGAATCTGTGATTTGTTAATTTTCTTCTGGAGACAGGCACATGCACTCTATGGTGTAGAGTTTCTAAGAAACCACTCTGTTTTAGCACATGCACAAAGAGAACTGGCATTGTCTTGTGTCCCAGGAAAGATATCATCTTGATGGCAGTATGTCTCTGTCCAATCCCAATATATGCCTCCACATCAATGGTACCTTCACACATGCAAGTCACCCATACCATTTTGCACCTGTCGCTGATGAAAGTCTGGATAGTCCCTTTCGTCTTTGAGAATGGGTGGTTTAGAAACTCAATGTCCATTTTTTCCAAAAACAAACTGAAACATGGACTCATTTGACCACAGCACATATTTCCACTGTCTTTCGGAGCATCTGAGATGAGCTCGGGCACAGAGAACTCGGCGGCATCTCCACATAGAATCGATGTATAGCTTTCTCTGTATGAGTTTCAAGTAGATTTTTTTCTTGATGCAGCGAGAGACTGTTAAGTGACAATGGTCTTTTAAAGTACTCCTGAGCACATGTGGCTGTATTTAACAGAGTAGCATGATGGTTTCTCATGCAGTGACATCTGAGGGCTCAAAGGTCACGCACATACAAGGGAGGTCTCCTCCCTAGCCCTACACAGACAGATTTCTCTAGATTCCCTGAACGTTTTCACAATATTATGTATCCTGAAAGACCTAAATTCTTTGCCATCTTGCATTGAGAAAAATGATTTTTGAATTGTTTGACAATTCTCTCATGATATTTGGCACAAAATGGGTTTGCTTTATACCCAATAATGATACCCTCATCAATTCACCTGCTGATTGTGGACTGTTTCAAAACACTTTAACTTGGATATTCTTTCATTTTTTTCACTTTTCTTTTATTTAGCCAAAATTTGTTTACATTTACTAAATAAAATTAAGTTGGTCTGTGAAAACATTGTAAATCTTTTCTTTATACTTTTGTCTGTTAAATGAAGGTTTAAGAAAATTAACAAATGATAGTTTCTGAATTGTATTGCATTTTACAAAATGGCCCAACATTTCAGGAAATGGGGTCGTATTTCATTGACAGGTTTCATGTCTTACAACTAATACTTTCCTTGGGTATGTCTTCAGGGGTTTCGAGTAGCTAATCATGAGATACAAAACCTACTACTAAGTAGTAAAGTTACTAAGGCTACGTCCAGATTAATCCGGATAAAATCATTTTTGAAAATGCTTTACCTCCATGTTTTGGCCTTTCATCCACACTGAGATGATGTTTTTTTCCCAATGAAAACTGAGCTTTTTGAAGATGCTCTCCCAAGTGGATACATTTGAAAATGCCATTTTTTGCATTGTAGTGTGGACTGAAAACGATGATGCATGTTTAGTCATGTGACGCATATTGCACCATATACTGTATTTATTTATAGATCTATGGTTATAACTGCATTGTTATGCCTGCTATTCACTTTCATAGTGTTGCTAAAGATAAGTGTTACTTCACATTCCTGCAAAGATAACATAAAATGTACTCACAATTGCTGTCCTGCTGCAAAACACAAGGGCAATTGCCCTTTTAGACCATACATGAAATGGCGATCCAGTGGGACCGGGAAGCACCAGTAAGTAGTTGGATATTTTAGAAGAATAGCGTGAGAACTGTATTATGTCTGGTCTCTTGGTATCACCTCAGGGAGCTTTATTATTTAACACATGCTCAGCATGGTGATTTAAGCCACTTTTGGAAAACACTTCAAAACGCTAGTGTGGACGAAGAGTGTTTTGAAATGAAAATGGTATTTTCAAATATATCCGGATTAATGTGGACATAGCCTGAGATGTCATTTTACCATATGTTGGACAGATTTCATTCCTCTCCACTCTGTGCCTACGGAGTCTTTGTCTGTGGACACCTTCTCCCACAAGAACGACGTGTACGTGGCCATCGCTGCTCCTAACGCAGAGAGCTGCATGATGCTCCAATGGGACCACATCGAGATGAACTTCAGGAGTTATGACAACATCACAGGTGCATTCATGGTAAAGTCATGATAATAAGGATTGTTAATGATGCAACAAAACTCATGCAGTGTGTTTTCTTTCATCTCAGGTCAGTCCATTGTTGGTTGCAAGTCTGTGATTATCCAGAACCAGGTCTTTGTCATTGTTGCTCAACTCTTTGGTGGTTCCCACATCTATAAGTTTGATGAAGACCAAAGCAAGTTCACAAAGTTTCAGGACATTGAGGTATCTAAGATTTCCAAACCGAATGACATTGAGGCCTTTCAGATTGGTAACGACTGGTTCTTCATCATCGCTGACAGCTCTAAGGCTGGTCTGTCCACTCTCTACAAATGGAACGACAAGGGCTTCTACTCCTACCAGTCCCTTCATGAATGGTTTCGTGATACAGATGCAGAGTTTGTCAATTTAGATGGTAAGGCCCATCTTATCCTTGCAAGTCGTTCCCAAGTTCCGGTCATCTATCAGTGGAGCAGGAGCACTCAGAAATTTGCTTTGCAGGGTGAGATCCCTAACATGGAAGATGTAGTTGCTGTCAAGGCCTTTTGGATCAAAGAGGAGCTTTATCTGGCCATGACCCGGTACATCGGTGACTCCAAAGTCTTGCGTTGGACTGCTAAAGAGTTTTCTGAGGTTCAGGCCCTTCCTTCGAGAGGCTCCATGATCCTGCAGCCTTTTTCCTTCAAAGAGAGGAACTACCTGGCTCTGGGAAGCGACTACACCTTCTCGCGGATCTACCTGTGGGATGCTGAGAAGAAGGTTTTTGAGCGTTTCAAGGAAGTCTACATCCAGGCTCCACGTTCCTTCACCGTGGTCTCCACTGACCGGAGGGACTTCGTATTTGCCTCCAGTTTTAAGGGCAACACACAGATCTATGAGCATATCATCATTGATCTGAGCCTTTGAGTGCTGTTGTGGACACAGTTATTGAGGCACGTCTGCTCAGCAGCAACCCCTCCTTTGGCAGTTGGACATTTTTCTGGGCAATACAATTAGTGGGTTTTGTAACAAGAGAGGTCTGGGAAGCAAACGTAATATGGAATTATCAGGTTCATAGTAAAATAAGAACATCATGCATCTGTGTTGTTTTACATAGATTCTAGGAAGGCCCTGACATTTTTCTGTTGTACTATATTAGAATTGTTATATGTTATATATAACAATTCCTCAGCCCTGCTGAATCAGAGCATTTCTTCCGAAAGTATGGTGCAAGGACTGCGTAAAAGAGTTGCACTTGTCACATGTAACAACCTAAATCACTCCTCCATAACGATATATACTGTACCTTTGAGAGCCTTTCATATCTCTGTATGCAACCGCTGATGGCATGCATGATGTGGCTGCAACAACATTCAAAAAATACAATCTTCAGAGCTGGCATGCAGATCGACAAGTGATACAGGTGAAAAATGCAGTCATATTATCTTTAGAAATATTAAGTAATATTTTACCTCATTGTTCACCATTTATTGAAATCATCTCTTTTGATGATCTAAGTTGTAATGTCAAGTAATTAGTCAGTTAAAAAGATTCGCCTTTATCACATTTAGCCTATTAGGATCTGTTCAGAGTGTAGCAAATCGAAACTTGCAGAAATATTGGTTTATGTGGTTGGGTGTATTGAATTCAAGAATAAAGCCTTTTGTGAATTGAAAAAATAATCTATACGGCGAAATTGTCAAAAGAACAAACCTTTAAAACCATCATACATCAAATTAATACAGGAAGTGACTTAATCTTACTCATTAACTTCAACAATTTAACTGACTTTTGGAGTCAACGATTTTTTTTTTCTCTGTGCAATGAATGTAAACAGCTTTTTATTTTAAAGGTGCAGTACGCGATATCTGAGAAACGCTGTTGAAAGTGTATCGGACCAAGCGCCACAACACACTTGTAGCCAATCAGCAGTGTCCACGCGTGTCCACTCATGATGGAGAGGAGAGAGAGAGAGCAAGAGGAAGATTTGAATTAGACCTATTTTATCTTGTCTCTGATCTTTTAATCTCGTTCTAATCTTTTTTCAAGTTATTTCGCTCGTTTCAGCAGAGTATAATTAAAATGTTACATGTTCATAGCCAAATTCCCCAACACATCTACTTACTCAACGTTAATCACATTTCGAATGAGAGAAAACAGCCAAGGCAAATTGTGACAAGCAGAAATTATTAATAAATTGCTTAGCTGGGTCTTCAGGCTGTGCAGTCTGTTAATTCACCTCATGTTTTCGGAATTGTTATTGTGTTTTCTGGTGTATTCTGGTGTCGTGTCACCGCTTCCCGGCTCAGTATCTTACAACAAATATAACATTACATTAGTATTATTGACTATATGTTGTATTTTATTTAGGTATCTTTGCTTTATCAAAAGGATTTTCCCAATCATACGGATACATTTTAAAGCATTTATTACCACATTCAATGTTATGGAAAAGAACCACCATGACAGAAATTCACAAATTTATAAATGGTAAGAAATAAAAAAGCTACAATTTGAGATCAGAAACGCATCACATAACTGTAAGAATAAACTTTTTTAAAAAGCGCTTGTTTGTAAGGAAGGTTGGGAATTGTATCCAATATAGCTGTCACTTAACAATGAACAGAGCCGAAGACTCGGGAGCTGAACTGATCATTTCTGTTTCCTGTAGAGAACATTGGATGTTGCCCATGCGCGGTCAACACAAAATGAACGAATCACTCAGTCTTTTTAAGGATTTGTTCAAAATAAACAAATTGTTCATGATCTACCCATCACTAATTTGAAGAAAGACAGTAGAAAGAGAGATAGCTGAGAGATGTTACAAAAGAGAAAATGTCAGAAGAATATCCAAAGAAGGGTTATGATCAGAAAAGAGATTTAGGATCTGCGTTAATATTAGAAAAGCTTTCCAGCGCTGGAGAGACCGAAGAGGGAAGGCCTGAATACGGATGCAGAGGTTGTGTTGTTTCTGCTCCATATGAGTAACATTGGTTTTGGTTTCACAGAACCAAGATATGCTGGTGTTGTAATATTAGCTACAGTAACAGGACAGTTTTGAGTGTCATTGTTTGTCTAACAACAAACTTGCTTGTATATACTCTTGTGTACTGTATGTTCATTTTTGTTACTGTCGTTCGTTTGTTTGTCATCTTCAGCCTTAGCTTTGATAAAGACACATCCACTCTTGCATTGTGTGTTTGTGCATTTTGGGGGCAGAGCAATGAAGGGAGGGGTGTGTTTGTTTGGGTTGATTTCAAATGTCAACAGTGTTTCTCAGAAATCGCTTACTGCACCTTTAAGGACTAAATAAATGTTGAATGTCAGACTTATTTTGATAAAAAAAAGTGTTTTAAAATAAGAACCTCTGTTCCTTACTGTTCTGCAAGCTGGAATACAGAGAGAACAAAACCTCAAATAATTATTGCAGCCAGCAAAAGCATGATATTCAGCTATTAATATTCAATACCTTTAATTCCTATAAAAACTCAAAGAACAACTGTTACTTGATCACAATGGCTTTATTCATATCAGTTTTAGCTTAATCTGATATGCAAAAATATAATTTAAATTTTTAGTAAATCATGACATGTATATTTTCATTTGTTGAATGTTGTTAGGCATATGTTTTTGAATACTAATGTAAATAAATGCTTATGAACACTGATTATCGCTGGATTTTTTTTAATGTATGCTGTTTATTAAACTAGGCTACATCACTCTTGGTTGCTGACAAAACGTAAAGTTGGCGTTTTGAACCAATGAAGATGGTTAGTTTTCAGAAAGGGGGTGATGTTTCACCACTGATGAAGATGAGATTATCAGTGAATCATTGACTTATAAACATGGGTCAAGACAAATGGATTGAATTGGCAATATAGGCATTCATTTTGATTACATGTTCAAAAGTTTTTTAGTTTTTTTTTTTAACCATCTTTATTTGGTGATATAGCAAATACTGGACAAAGACAGTAGGCTACAGAATCACAAAGCACAGAATTAGTAGGCTATACATTTTAGGTACAGTTGCAGTGCTGAGCAATCTTACTTTATTATTTAGGCTAATTCATATTGAACTGGGCACAATGTAGCATCGACTGTGTATTATAGGCCTACAGCAAGTTGCCAAACACAATTTCATTAAATTTAAACCCTTTCTTTAAATTGGGGCGTGGGGTGGATGACGTGTAGTGTATAAGATTAAGGAAGATACTGCACTTACCTGTTTTATCGGATAGGTAGCCAAGGCCAGTATTGACAGATCCCACCGATAGTCCTATCTCTTTTGAATGGAAAGTTTGTTGGAAATCTGGGAATGACACAGGTAACCATTTAACATGATAGGCTATTTGAAAGACGTAATTTTAACATAGTAATTAATTATCACATTTTTGTTATTGCATTTATCAATAGCAATCACAGATCATTGCCAGTCTTTTAGCAACTTTTAATTTAAACTTATAACAAACAAATTATAGTAAATGTCACATTTACATTCGTGGCTATTGTAAAACAAATCCAGATAATAGATAGCCTACTCTAAATGAGCCCGCTGTTATCGACGTCATAATGTGCCTTAGGCTTGTTTAGACTTTGCAGGAGAAATTGTTCATTTACATTTTCTCTTTCTCTTGTAACTCTGCAGTGATAGCTACGTATTATCTTAAAATTAATTGTTTAAACAGCAAGAATTTATTTATTAAGTGAAGTGAGGATCTCACATCACCTGAGGTCAGTGCTTTAAGTGGCCCAAAAGAGGTGCCGGTACTCTATTATTATTATTATTATTATTTTATTTTTTTTGCTGACTCCCCTCCTCCCCTGAGGTAACAACTATATTGAAGGGGTTTTATATACAGCAGTCAACAGACGACCTTATAAAAAATAATAAATCCTTTTATTAGTTTGTGGATTTTCTTGAGCTAGAAAGAGCTACTGAACATAAATAAAATGTGCAAAAGGGTATTGAAATTTTTTTTAACAAAATGTGCATAAAGTAAATTATAAAACATAATAACATATAACCATAGAACAGTAGAACATAAACATGAGTCTAGAAGATGGTTCATTTCTTTACTGATTCTGACCTTGTTCTTTTACTACTCAGAGTCTGAAGCCAGGAGAGCATATTAAGTGTTCATTGTATTTGTATTTTAACGATTTTAAAAGCAGCAGATATGGTTGCGCATTTCACACACCCTCTCCGGACCATGTTGAGTTGACACCTTTACAGTCTATGGCTGACACTGACAGCGGCAAAAGCGACACATGCGCTTTTCACTTGTAAAACTCAAGAGTGTATGGGCAATGGATTCTCTCTCTGCTCTCGGTAGGACGAATTAGGAAGCGTGCATTGTGAAGGGCGCTCTGAAAAGCGGCAGCGCAGCCAAAGAGTTAAAACAGATGTGCAAATGAGCGTACCGGTACGCTAAAAGCACGTTCTGGCCGCACGGAGACTGTGAGCGCAGGCTGCGCTGAGCCCATACAATGAGGCTCCTGGCCATGGTGTACAGGTTGTTGGACCTGAGGCCACCCTGGCGATCTTATTCGTCATCCTCGTCCGATGCCCCAAAGGAGATGAGACCGGCCGTTCGCATAGAGGGGCGCTGGTCCGTCTATGTAAACAGGACCGGCGAGGGGGTTTCTCTTGGAGAGAGCGAGGCACGCGGGGAATGATCTGGCGTGTGCTCGCTCGTGTCCACCCGCTCTGGCACCCTTTGTGCACGGTGCTTCTTTTTGCGTGGCTCCAGCAGGGGGGGTGGTGGGGGGTGTGGGGGGTGGCGTGAAACACGGGGTCGTCCTCGGCGAAAACAGTCAGTCGAGGCCGCAGGGTGGGGAGATCCAATTCCTCACACTCAAGGCAGCCGCCCTTAGCGAGTGCCGCTTCCGTGTTGGTCAAGGCCTAGACCGAAAGTGCAAAGGATGTGACGATCTCCTCCGAACAGAGGGCCTCGGCACAGTGCACACGAAGAGCGAGGCTTTTGAAACAATGCCTTAGGAAATATGCTCTTTTAGAGGAGTGTGACACGACGGTGAACACACTAGAATTGCTTTTAGAAAAAGGATATGGTTTTTTTTATTAAAAAAGGATATGGTTTTTTTTATTAAACTTTCAAAAGTTTTAAATTTAATTTGAAAAAAATAATAATTCTACAAGGCTGCAGTAAACTGAAGTTCCCTTTCGAACGGTCACTTCGTATTGCGTAGCTATACGCAGTGGGGAAACGCTACAGAGCCCGCCATATTGCCAGATCGTGCCGCGAGCTTGAGAGAGGAGATCTGCTCTGACTGGGATGGGCCACGGGGCTGTCTGTGACAGCTGAGTGAGCTCCGGAACCCAATTCTGACTCTCCCAACGCGGGGCTATGAGGAGCACCGAGTGGCGTGTGTCCCTGATCCTCTGAATTACCTGTGGTAGCAGAGCGATCGGAGGGAATGCATAGAGCGGGCGGCGAGGCCATTCCTGGGCTAGCGCGTCCTCGCTCCTTGAGAAAAATATTGGGCAGTGAGCGTTCTCTTCTGACGCGAAGAGGTCCACCTCTGCTCTGCCGAATAGCCGCCACAGTATTTGGACCGTTTGTGTGTTCAGGGACCATTCTCCTGAGGAGATGAGGTTCCTGGACAGTATGTCTGGACCGTCGTTCAGATGGCCCGGCACATGCGTCGCTCTGAGCGAGAGCAG